CAATTTTAGGACACGGAAAATGTACATGGGGTAAGGAACATGAGCATGATTCTCCAAAGGTAAACGTTTTCTGTGCTATTTCGAACAACTTATAAGGTATTTCCCCTACTTCCCTAGTGTGCCTTCATGATGTAACGGTAGCACGCTGGTCCGGTATTCCAGAGGTCCGTGGTTCGATTCCCGGCGAAGGCGGTTGCATATTTTTCATCTTTCTGCTTCTAATGACTCTACAAGTGGCGCCTGAACTAAAAGAGTTGTGGATGATGATTCTCCACACCCAGGATTTGGCGACTAGGTCCCCTAAAACCCTAGTCCCCCTTTAAAAAGGGGGGTATATAAGGTATTTCTCCCACTTCCCTAGCATGCCTTCGTGGTGTAACGGTAGCACGCTGGGCCGGTATTCCAGAGGTCCGTGGTTCAATTCCCGGCGAAGGCAGTTGCATATTTTTCATCTTTTCTGCTTCTGATGACTCTAAAAACTGTGTTTCTGGTGCTTTTTTTCTTCATGGAAAAATTGACTAATGGGTGCATTTATCAATAAATGCTGTCATAGTTGTTGTTCTCATAGTTGGGGGAAGCAGTTCCCACCTTCATTCTGCAGGGAGATAGTGCTTCATTACATTGCATAAAAACATGTGCCAGTACCTGAATGATAGACTACCCCATCTCTGGATTAGCCATGCTGGGTCAAATGATATGCCATTGCGTATCCAGTGAACATCCTTTGTCAATAAATTTAGCCATGTATTAATTAACAGTGCCTTCCACTTTCACTTTATTCAGAACACCCATTTGTATCCAAAAGCTTTCAATTTTCTGGTAGGTCAGTTAATTCCCAGATATTGTTTCTTATTAAGGAATTATATTCATCTTGTATAAATGTTGTCCGATTTTCTTGCATCAGGTCTCAATAAAGCTTCTACAGTTTCTGAAGCTGCAAAAATTTCTTGAGTTTAACCAAAGAGTATCAAACTAGCACATGTTTACTGACAGATTTTCTGTGTCTGTTCAGTTTACCTGTTTCTAGAAACGTAGGTCTTCCTGCTCCTGTTACAGAGCTTAGATCTAAAATTTTATTTTCTTCAACTTCTGCTCTCTCTTTATTGTATGTTTTGAAATTTTGTAGACTGGAGAATTTTTTTCCATCAGCTGTTGAGTCGTGTTTCAGTTTGTGGCAGCTTAAAAAACTGAATGACAGATTTGCATTATCTGAGAGGTTCCAGGTTTCTACATATAACAGGTTTTACTTTCTCTTATATTGTTCCTCCCCTTTATCTAATAACTAAATATGGAGGAACCTAGTGAATAATTGCTTAACTTCAGTAACAGAAATGTAAAACTCAAGAAGGGTTAATTACCCTTTATTACTCAAAAGGTGTACAGATGGTCCCTTTCTCAGGACATACAACAAAGCCTCCAATCGGTCTTAAGCGCAAAATTATAAGAAATAAGAACTTAACTAACTAAAGAGATGACACAATTCTGAGTCCCTAAATATTGAATTAGCTAGTGAAGCTATCCAGGGCTAAAGACTAACTAACTAAAGAGATTTTGCCAAAGATGACACAATTCTGAGTCCCTAAATATTGAATTAGCTAGTGAAGCTATCCAAAGCCCATGATATGGCCGAGTGTAGTAACAGCTTAAGAGAGACGTGGCCAAAAGGCAAACGCGCACTAGTCAGGAACTCTGGTTCTCTCTCTTGAAGCCAGTGGAACTTCGACTTAGATGCTACTTCTTCTCATTTGCATTTAACTTGATTCTAAAAGCACATTCTGGTGAGGAATTTGTAAGCTGAAATTAGGAGAGATAGGAAAAGAGCTTGAAAATAACTGTTATAAACTTAGGATAAACCTTACACTCTGAATAGCCAGTAAGAATACACTGGTGTGCAAAAATTAAGGACGAGACGGTTTTTTCAATATAACTTTGTACAAAAGCTTTCCAAATCAACACATTTAATACCGTAAGATACCCAATACGTAAGGACATGAGTAATGTAAGCAACACTTACTAAAAGAGAAATCAGAGGGATAAAAAGAAGCTTTATTGAAAAAGTAGCATAAAGCGCAATGCAACTGAGGGCCGAAACATCCCTGTGATGGGTGTCCAGCAAGAAACATCCGGTCTTTAATAGGGGATATGATCTCCCCTGACTGCTAGGCAGGTTTCACAGCATCTGCCCATGCTGAGAATGAGGGTGTCAATGAGTTGTTGAGGCATTGCTGCCCATTCGTCTTGCAGTGCCATCTGCGCATGTGCTACCGTACATCACCTTAGTTAATCTCCTGATTGGTCTTTCTGTCCGCTCTGCCTCTTTGTTCAGCTGGTATGCTAATTTTTCGACTTCGTCCTTAATTTTTGCACACCAATGTATATTCTTCACATTTGAGAAGAAACTTGTTTTACCTATTGGAATTTGTCAGTGCAAAGCTTTACTTCCTGTTATCCTAAAATGCTTTACCACGGGCTTTCTCATTTACCAGATTTCCTCCAGTCTTTGTTCTTGATCTGCTTTTAGTTTGACATTGCTTTCATATGTAATCAGCTGTAGATATCATTCCTACCCATAGTGCTTGGGGTAATTTCAGCTTGAATAACAAATACCTAGCCATTTTAACTTATGTAAAATTGCCACATTCTTCAACTCCATTTTGTTGAAGCCTATACTCTACTCATAATGCCTTTCCTTTCCAAAAAGTTAATCTTATTCCTGACTTGTGAATTCTTTGGAGAATTTTAAGTTAATTGCCTGTTTCTTTTTCAGCCTGTAATTTGCACTTTTTAAATGCTTGAATTGCTTCTGACTTATTCTGTAAGGTACGTAGTGTAATTTTCCTCTATTTGTCATCTATGAATAATTTGAAATATTTTCTTCTATCTCAGCGTATGATTTTCATTGAACCGTAAATAGTGGTATGTGCAAGTTCAAGAATGTCACAATTTACTGCATTTGCTTCATTTGGGAAAAGCAACTTAGCCTGTTCACATTTAATATATGATTTGAGAATATATATATATATATTATTATAAAATTTTAAAACATGTACCATCAGTTTGGAATGCAGTGCTTTTAAATCGGTTAGATTTAAGTGACAATATATTTTGGGCAACTACTGCAGTAAACTGTTTTGAGTATTTGCCTTACAGTGTGCAACATTTGAAACAAGTTTACAACATGTGGCTCATTTTGTTTAATTACTTGCAAGACAATGTGTTTATTGTGATTTTTAAGCCATGCATAGTTATTTTTAAAATAAACACTCCATTTACTTTGCATTGCTAAGTTAACTGAAGTTGTGTTTCTTGCTTAGTGTTTTTGCTTTTATTTTTCCTACTTTCCAATATTTTATATCCTTTTCTATTACAGTTATAACGTTTAATAGCTTTAGGTTTGATTTTCTTAAGATTATTTTTGCGTTCAGTAACTATTTCTGACTTTGGTATTTTTTTGTTCTTGAAGTTAGCATCTTTTTATTTTTCAAGTAGAATTTAAAACCTATTTTTGCAAATTTATGTACAATTTTGAAGAATTCAGCATTGTTTCAAATAATCCTGCATTGTTTTGTTGGTTTGCATCTTTTTAAATATTATTTCTTTCATAAGACTCGCTTTAATAATGAAATTTCTAATTTTGTATATGCAGTACATCACAACACTCCGACCAGTAATCGCTAAAGCTTTGTGATTCTCGTGAACTTACTTTTCTAGCTTATATCTGTTATCTTTCTCTAGTTTTATATAAACTGCATAATTATAAATTCCCGAAGTTCTGACTGACTGAAATTATTTTTACTTGAAAACACCGTGTTTCAAAATTGGCTTTATCCAACTTGCCAGTTTCTGTATTGTGGTTCATGATTTGCTTCTATTCCTTACCTTTTTTTTTTTCTTTGCGAAAGAGTACATTGATGCTTCATTGACTTCACAAATACGGATCAGATCTCTGTAGGTCCTAGGGGCATAACTATCTTTTTCAGGATACATGTATGGAATCCATGTGAGTGTGAAGAATGTAATGTTTAATTATCATAACGTTAGACACAACAGAATCGGAGGTTCTACAGTGTGAGATGGAGGAGAACACACATCACTCATCAGGCCATAGAAAAAGTTCATGTTCACAGTTCTTGTACTACAGAAAAACAGGTGGCAGCATTGACCATATTGATACTGCTGTATCATGAGATTCCAATCCATAAAGAACAGTCAGGTAGATCAACATACTAGCAGCTTTCATCAGGAGACACTTGCAATCCATAAAAATTAGATTTGACAGGTTGGTACATAGTGGATACTGATCACTGTTGCATCTCTGCACTTCAGTCAGCTTCTACTGCTGCTAGTAAAGCATTTGCTATATCCAAAAATAGCTGGATTTCAACTAAAGTACCATATTTACTCACATATTTCTCCACTTTGCCTAATTTTCTTTTTTTATTTTTTTAAGCATATGATTTAGAAACTTCTGATTCATGGTAAAATGTATATACAAACAGAAAAGTATTTTGTGTAAATAAAAAGAATGTTATTGAAATTAAAAAATCCTTTGAAATGCATAAGATAACATTATTAAGGTGTCTTTGTGTGTCCTTTTTAATATGTTCTGTTTAAAGTCGTCTTTTCATAATAGTTTACGTCTTTTATTTTTCTTCTCCTAAAATTAGTAGGAAGAGAGGAGATATGCAAATAAATATGGTATACACATTAACTACCTCTCTTTTCAATGCTGTGCAGATGTGAAAGGATAAATATGGTATACACATTAACTACCTCTCTTTTTAATGCTGTGCAGATGTGAAAGGATAAATATGGTATACACATTAACTACCTCTCTTTTCAATGCTGTGCAGATGTGAAAGGAATGCAAATTTCTATTAATAACAAATAATGTAATAAGTAGTTTCACTTCATTTTAATTGTAACTTTACAAATAGAGAAAAGGAATAAAAAAACATGTAATTTTTTTATACCTTATTACTGTTATTTTATTCAAATAGGAATGGCTCAAGCTCTTGGTTCTGATACTCCATTTACAGTAGTATCAGGAAGTGAGATATTTTCTTTAGAAATGTCTAAAACAGAAGCTCTTACTCAAGCATTTAGGAAATCCATTGGCGTAAGAATTCAGTAAGTCTTTAAAAGAATTAATATAGCAAATGTTGTTCTGAAATTAGTCTTTTTTTTTTTTCAAATAGTTTTATAATTCAGAAATAGTTAAAAAATTTGTGAAAGATTTCTGTATAAGCTGTATAATATTAATCAAATCCACTGCTTGCATTTTACACATTTTACTAATTATTTGTTTTTTAATTCATTAATATAAAAATTGTGCTTTAGAGAAGAAACAGAAATAATAGAAGGAGAGGTAGTGGAAATACAAATTGATCGTCCTGTCTCTGGAACCGTAAGTTATACGTATGTTTTTTAAAATTGTTATGTACTGACATATTGTTTGCAGTTTAATTAAATTCAGAATAATTGTCATAAAAATTGGCTTGAAATTTTTGTAAAATGTAAGGATGGTCACAAATAAAGAGGAAGTATATGCCTGCTTTTAAGAACATGCTTACTGTATTTCTCTAGAATTAGATTCAATTTCAGAGATTATATATAGCTTTGCAGAATCAGTTTTACCTTTTTGACTTAAATTTATCTATTGCATTATTGAGTAACATCCAGTTATGGGAGTACATGCACAGACACTTTATTATACAGGATGGTCTGATCTTAAATCACTATATTGTGATTTATCATAAAGCAAGCATCTTAGTTTTTGTACTGAAATAATTAGAAAGTGACTAAATTTTGACTGTAGGGGTGAAGCAAATACATAAGTAGATCCAAAAATTTCTAGTTTTTAAAGAAATACGAGGCACGTCTAGAAAGTAAGTTCCGTTTCAATTTATCTCCGCTGCAGCTCTGCGATCGCAGTTCCGCACATGCGCAGTAGACGCTCTGTATCAAGGAGAAGAAACGCGCGCAATTTGAAGATCGCTGTCAGTCACGTACGCTTTGTTGTGCTTGTTTACAATGTCGGTGTTGATTGAAAATCCCGCCGCTTGTGAAATCAGATCTGGGATTCGTTTTCTGAATGCGAGGAAAGTGAAACCTAGTGAAATTTATCGGCAAATTTCCGATGTTTACGGACCAAAAGCGATGAGTGGTTCAATGGTGAGAAGATGGGTCCGAAAGTTCAATCACGGACATAGTGATGTGCACGATGAAGAACGAAGTGGGCGTCCATCTTTGGTTACAGAAGAACTGGTTCACGCGATTGATGACAAGATCCATGAAAACCGAAGGTTTACAATTAGTGCTCTCGCTATGGAATTTCCCCAAATTTCACAATCACTAATGCATGAAATTGTTACCGAAAAACTGAAATTTCGTGAACTTTGCTCGCGTTGGGTACCAAAGATTCTTACTGAGCAACACAAAACAAAACGGATGGGTAGTGCACTTCAGTTTTTGACCCGTTATGCTGAAAGCAGCGAAGAATTTCTGAAACAGATAGTCACAGGAGATGAAACTTTGGTTTCTTACGACACCCCTGAAAGTAAGCGGCAATCAATGGAATGGAGGGCCACTTCATCCCCAGCAAAGGTTAAGCCGAAGCAAATCTTGACACCTTGAAAAATGATGTGCACAGTGTTTTGGGACTGGAAAGGCATCTTACTCATTGATTTCTTACCGCATGGTCAAACAATCAGAGCAGATGCTTATTGTGAGACACTTCGGAAATTGCGCCGCGCAATACAGAATAAGCACCGAGGATTGCTGTCAAAAGGCGTTGTTTTTCTTCACGACAACGCACGACCACACACTGCAAATGTGACAAAAAACCTCCTACAGGGATTTGACTGGGACGTGTTTGACCATCCTCCGTACAGCCCTGACCTCGCTCCTAGCGACTTTCATCTGTTCTTACATCTTAAGTCTTTCCTTGGCGGTCAACACTTGAACAATGACGACGAGCTGAAAGAAACTGTTTCCAACTGGTTGAAGACACAGGCGGCAAATTTCTATGAAGAAGGTATACAAAAACTTGTGCCACGCTTTGACAAATGCCTGCAATATTTCGGCAGTTTAAGAGTTGTTGAATTTTGTGCAATAAATAACTTTTCTGTAGCTGTACACAATTTACTTTTATTACGAAACGGAACTTTACTTTCTGGACGTACATTGTAAAAAAAAAAAAAAAAAAAAAAATTGTAATAGTTTATTTTTCAATGTAATCTTGTACTTACACTTTTCTCACCATTTAATGAGCAACTCTAGGCTCCTAAAAAGTAATCTGGAGGGGTTTTTATTCTTTTGATTTATTCATCACACACAATGCTATTTGTCAAAGTGGGAGATACCCTGTTGAGGACTTTTAAGCGAAACTGGCTGGTATCCACGTTACACTTAACCCTCTCAAAGCGTACTTTTTTTTTTTTTTTATCAAAATAGGTTCAAAAATTGTGTATTTTTTAATTACATATTTCAAATCTACATATAATTTAGCGTTAAAATATACAAAATTTTTTTGTAAAAGAGTTTTTTTCAATATAGAATTAGATCATAGGAAAAGGTTGTCAGAATACTGAAATTGAAGAATAATGATATAAAAGAAAAATTTTAAAAATTAATATTGGTTAAATTATGATTAATTTTATAAAATACAAAGGTAAAACATATATACTAATGAAAACATTTGCATAATGTAATATTTTGCATATCGATTTTGCATCACTGTTGAACGTTTTCAATAGAAACTGAATTTTCAAATTCATCACTATCTGCAGAGGAATTCGAGAAATTCTCATCAGTTTTGCGATAACTATCTTCAATATACTTAAAATCAGAGTCACTATCAGTGTCGGAAATATCATCTTGAAAATAGGTTATATCACTTGCAAATGCTTCCTGCCAGACATCTTTGAGCTCTGAAAAGCGCGCACAAAATGTTACATTATGTATTCCTGTATATTTGGCAGAAATGTGGACAATTAACTCCATCTGTTACCCCACATCTAAATAAACAATTAAACATCACAGAAAAGCCGAAAGGAAACCTTGAACGAGGAAAGAGCGGGTTGCATAGTTAAATAGAAGGCAAAAATTCATCCCTAAATCTGGATTGTAAAGGGGGGAGGTCAGGCTCCTTAAATTTGCATTTTCATACTGTTTCCTTGGCAGTAATAGCTGAATGCACAGGAACAATATCATGGAGAAGATGAACTGTACTCAGTTCATCTTCTCATACATACCCTTTCTCTTTAATTTCAGTGTGCAGTTTATAAAAAAACACCAAATGACACACTGCTGTTTGTGAAAAAGGATTTGCAGGGAAAGTTTGATTGCCAACACACTGCAGTGTACCTTGCTGTGTATGGGCCTACACAGCCATAGGTCAAAGTATGTCCTTGCACTGACGGCACATCATCACCAGCAAGTATGCAATGGGCCAAGAAGCATCTGAATTGGACATTAAAAGAATGGAAGAAATTTGAATGGTTCAACGAATCACGTTTTCTGGTCCATCTCATCAATGGGTGTGTGCTAATACTCCAATTTCCAAACAAAACTCTGGCTCCTGGCTGCACAGTTGGACAGAGAAAAGCCAGTGTAAGGGGTATTATAGTGTGGGCAATATTTTTATGGAGTATGTTAAGGATCCATAATCTCCATGGAACAATGCCTGATGTCTGTGCGCTATGTGAACATCATTGCAAACCAGGTTCACCCATTCATGACAACAGTATTTCTGGCGGGGGATGGTGTTTACTAACAGGATAATGCACCATGTCATAAGGGTTGAAGTGTCAGGGAGTGGTTCGAGGATCATTCCAGTGACTTTCAAGTCGTGTCTTGGCCTCCAAATTCACCTGACATTGATCCAATAGAGCATTTGTGGTCCCACCTGGGAAACCAAATTTGTGCTGCCACCCTACCCGTCGCAGTGTGCGGGAATTGCAGGACCAGTTGGTGAGTCCTTGGTACCAGATATCTCAGACTACGTATCAGCACCTCGTGGAGTCAATGCCACACCGGGAGCTGCCTGTTTTCAAGGTCTAAATGTGGTCCTACATGTTATTAACAAAGTAGTCATAATGTAATGGCTCTTTGGTGTATAAATAATAATAAAAACATGGCATATATGCAGTTCTCGTTATTCCATTTCTGAGAAGCTCTTCCGTGAAGGATCAGGCTCTCCTTATGAAGCATTTTTACAAGAATATTGACTTTTGACAAGAATAATGCAAGTATTTTTAGCGATATGTCAGTACACACATAACATTTTCAAAAATTTATTCAGCTATAGGTAAATATTAAACCTAAGATGAAACACTGTTGCCGCATAGATTATATGTATTTTTTGTATTATAATGGTTTAGCATTACTTACTAATACATATTCCTACCTTCCATTTTGCTACTAGGGTTCTAAAGTTGGAAAACTAACACTGAAAAGTACTGATATGGAGACTACATACGATTTAGGTCAAAAAATGATTGAAAGTTTAACAAAAGAAAAAGTTCAAGCTGGGTAATTCTTTTTAAATTTTATATAATGAAAGTACTGTATTGGCTTAAATGCAAGATATTTTATTTAGGATGATTCTTTATATATTAAGATGTGTTGACTTCATAATAAGATGACCTCTTGTATTTGAAGTTTCCACATTTAAGTGCTCAGTAAGATAGCTAATTAAATTTTCTAAATATTATGCTATCATATAAATCTGATTAAAATAGTTTTCTTTTGAAGGAAAAAGTTGAGGAGGAATTTTTTTTTTCATATTTATATGTTAGAATGCATATAAGGAAAGGAATGTAATCTTATATTTGAGCCAATATGTTAATTAACATTTTCTCAGTGAAAAACTGTTTTATCTATAAGGTCATTTTTCAAAATTATTATTATTTTATGTTATTAAAGGTTAGTAAACAGTAACTGAAATATTTCCATGCTGATTCTAAAATTAGATTTCAAAAAGGATTGCGGTTTCTTTGCTTTCTAATAACCTCCCTCCCTTTAATCAGTTGGAAGGCATTGCTCTGATATTATACTGTGCTTTGAATTGTATTTAGTCATTTCATAAAGGCAAAATTTTGTTTGGATATGTCAAAAAGAGTATAGCACTTAAACTGCTATAAATCATTATTTTAGTAATATTATGGATTTTAATCTAAACTGAAAGAAAATACTGTGAATCTCATGAAAATTCTCCAAGCCTTTTTCATGTCCAAGGGGGGGGGTTGGGGAGGAATTTGGTGCCCTAAGGCATCCTATACATGCTCAATCGGGTTCAAGTCGGGTGAGTACAATGGCCAATCCATTCGAGTGATATCTTCTATTTGTAAGTATTTTGACACCATGTATGCTCAATGAGGCCAAGCATTGTCATCCATTAGCAAAACATCTTTGCAAAGAGCATCTCTAAACAGTCTAATTTAGGGTTTCTATACCTTGTCCACATATATCTGAGGGATTACAGAATCTTCTTGAAGAATATGCAGCTTGGTGTAGTCATTTGTCATAATTCCTCTCCAAACCATTAAACCATGGTCACGGAAATGGAATGTGTCATGGACACGGAAAGGCAAGTTGTGTGTTCCTTCTTCTCTCCGGATCAAAACACGCCTAGAATCACTGTTCAGGTTGTAGCTTGACTCGTCAGTAAACAGTACACGGGCCGAGCCATTTTGGCTTTATTTAACACTATGACAACAGTTTAAATGGGCCCGTCTAAAAGCTTTAGTTTGTGGAACGCAAACAACTGCTTTTTCTCGCATATAGTCCGTCCTCGATAAGCCTTCATGCAACAGTAAATTTGCTAATTTGAGTTTCTGTGGCAGTTTAAAAAGTCCAAAAACAAATCTTTTATAGTTGCTGCACGGTTTCTTCAAGCTGACAATGACAGAAAACGGTCTTCTGATGGTCTTGTTGCTCTTGGTCACCTTTGACCAGGCTGTCTATCAATTGGTTCAGTGCTGTGCTTCAAAAGCAGCTCCAGACTTTTGATATGACACTTTTGAAGGAATAGTCAGATCTTGAACAACTTTCATCTATGTTTGACCTACCTCTATTCTACCAGTGATCTGTTACTTTTGTCCTTCGCTTAACTGATGCCTTTGATCGATAACTACTGAATTCTGATCATTCTCAGAAACCACATTCACTTTAAGCAATACAGTAGAAGTCCGGAAATCTGCAACGCTTGGGACCAGAGGTTGTGCGGATTTCAGAACAGAGAAGATAATATTCAGACTAAAAGTGCAAAATAAATAAGGTGTATTAGATACATTTAATTAAATTATTATATACATTAATACAATAATTAATTATATGCATTAAATTATTATTACATATATACTGATTATATTATATTGTTCATTTACATTAGGCTCCTCTATTTTTAAATCAGCATGAATCTGCTTCGCCCTTTCTCTCAGGAGTAATCTTGAAATAGGTACCCCATCACTCCGCCGTTGCCGGAACCACTCGTACAAGACAGCATCAAGGTTTGCCGATTTCGCCTCATGTAAAGATTTCCGGTTTCGGATTCTGGTGTTAGAATCACTGTTGCTGTAAAATTTCAACAGCTTTTCTTTATTGTTCCGTATATCATACACAGTCAGTGCCATACGATTTTGCTATAAACCAAGCAGTTGCACCTGCCTTCATCTTTAGCAGAATTTGCACTTTTTGCATTACCGTCAATGCAGCGTGTTTATGTTTTTTAAAGTTGCAAGCAGTGAAATCACGAGTGCGTTTCTTATCTGTCATTGTATTTAAAAAGCACTGAAATTTATTCTTAATTTATCCACAAAATATCCAGATAAGGAAAAAAAAAACAACATCACTAAACAATCTCGTGAAGTAACAAAGCTCAAAAAGTACAACAACGTGAAGCGTGAACTTGAAAGAAGAGTTGAGTTAATCGTCTGATTTTTTACCTCGATGCAGATTGGAGGGAAAAAAACTCTTATCATGATGTCAATAATTTGGTATTTTCGTTATGACTCATTATTATTTGGTAATTATGACATCATTATCCAGTAAGTATTTTTTCTTCAATATTTCGTACTCCATGTTGCGGTTTTCGGAACCTATAAACTAAATGTTTATATTTTGAGAGGCAACGGATTTCAGGTCGGCGGATTTTCAGTATTTGACTGTACTACAGACTGGAATTCCAACATGCATCACATTGTAAATCAACAAATTGACATATTTCTGGTGCTAATCTTTGCGCGTAGAGCAATTTTGTGTTCATTTGTATTTAATTAACATAAATAATTACAACATTAACTTTTTGAGCACACTTTTTCTCGTTATCCTTTAACAGGGTATGTATGGTGCTTAATCCTTAAAAGTACTTAATTTTGGCCAAAATCTGCACAAGGTCCATAATTTTATTCATCTGCATTTCTGTCTGTTTTTACAATTACCATTTTTAAAAATATTTTTGATGATTCACTGATAAATATGGTTACCTTTTGAATTGTTAGTGGTTTATAATTTGTTACTTTTTCTAATACGAACGGTGCGATACTAGAGTTTCTGGGCAAGAAGTAAAACATAAGCATTTCGAAATTATTTAATATTTTTTCCTAATGAAGAGCTCTTAAATAACTTTTTGCTTTTGCGGATTTTAATTCTTTTTTGAACTGTTCTAAACTTGGCAACTTATCAAAATTTTGATGATTTTAAGCTATAGACAATTTTTAATTTGGTGATCTGGAAATTTTTCTACGATTTGTTTTTTAAAACATTATAACGTTGATAATATATTGAAATTATATTTAAGCAATAACATTAAAATAAAACATTTTTATTTTTTCCTGTCATTATAAAGTGACATTACTTTCCATTTTGGTGACTTATAATTGCAATATTTTGAATTGGAAAAATAAACAAGGTAATAAATGCTGTAAAACACAATTATTAAATAATTATTAGCAAAAGCAAAATAGCTAGCTATGTAATTAAATAAAAATGTCTTCTTTTGTATTTTTTCATGGCAAGAGTTTTTCTCAAGAGTTTGTCTCAGAATATGCATCAGTTTCCTGTATAAAATTTTAATTAATTTTACACTTTGCCTCCCCTGGCCTCAAGCATATCTGTCTTTTTTTTGCTGCAGAATTGGTAGGTGTAATTTTTCTTTCACATTTTAGACATTGCAACTTTCAAGGATTCAAAGGAAATGAGGATTTGAAGACGAGATTTATAGACCCACAATTCTAGAAAAATGTGACAAAATGAAGAATGTCTTCATGGAATTAACACCGTGGTAATGGATGTATTTTACAGAAAGCCTATGATGAATTTCTTACTTTTTTGGAGAATTTTGGAAGAACAATGAAAACATAATATTTGAATGTTTTTCTTCTGATACTGGAAGTTTTTTTTCGTAACATGCATATATACCCTTTATTTTCTCTTTTTATTAGACGCAAGCATGGAAAATATAATTTTTTTTTTTTTTTTTCTAATTTTATCACATGGACAAGCATTTATAGAAAGGAATTTTTCTATTACTAGCAAAATTGAAAACTATCGATTTGAAAGCTTCATTGTGGATCTTAAATTCTGCTGCTTAGTGCCTTCCTGAATCCTGCTCCCAGTAACTCTCCTAAATTCTAAACGTTTTGCCATTTCTAGATTTTGTTGCTTGGTGTGTCACTAAATTCTAAAAATTCTGCCACTCCGGCTCCGTAACTGGCCTTTACCACCTATCATTTCATATTTATTCTGAATGTTCGTATTGCCAAAGAAATAATATTAACAGCCTTTTTCTTTACATTCTAAATGCATTTAGTTTATCAGAATAATAGAAATCTTTAATTAATTACCCAAAATTCTAAAATAAAGAGGAAACATATTGAAGAAAGAAACTAAATATATAAAGAGAAAGCAAATTATTCTTTAAAGATAAGTATAATTATTAGTATATAAATTAACTAGTTTGTAATTTCAGCCTTTACTGTAACTTCCCCTTTCCGTTTTCTCACTACAATGCAAATCAGAAAGATAGTGTTTAAACTGAGGTTTTTGGATTGTAAGACAGTGTTTCTGGCCTCTGTTTGCATGCTGCAGTAGTTTCTGCCAGCTCTGAAAATTTGTAATTATTCGTCTTTGCGTTATCGCTGCCGAAATTTGAAATTGTTAGGATGGTAGAGTTACTGAGCAAGCTTAGATTAAAATTAAATTGTGTAGTCTTGGACTGCAAGTCCACATTTTAAATTGACTGTTCCTATTTAGTTGCATCACTGCAAGCTGTAGTTATTTTTTTTTTTTTTTTTTTTAGCATGAGAATGTGTTATGTGTTCTAAGTTCTGTTTATATAAAGAGATTTAAATTTTATTTAATCTTACTTTGTAGTTGTTTTCAGATATGGCAATAATTTCCTTCATGTCTATCAGGTGTTTGGGACTATTTAACTTTTACCAGATCAAATAAAGCATCATAGGCACATTGCGGAGAGATTGATAAGTTAGGAAGTACAGCACGTAGAAACTAGGGGGAATATTGGTTTGTGTATTTAAACAAATTTCTAATTGTTAGAAAAAATGCTTAAAAAAACTGATAAAATTTAGACAGAATATCTGGGAAGGCTTGAAATTAAAAAGGCCCATAAATATTATGTGTTGCTGCTGTAAAACATAAATGTTTTGTACTTTTTAATGTGAAATTATCCTAATATTGTTTAAGAATCAAGGACATAAATTACATGCATTTCAAACTGTGAAATGTTATTAATTAGATTCTGATTTTAATAGTACTTTTTAAGCAAATATTAAAAAAAAAAAAAAAAAAAAAAAAAGAAAAGAAAAGAAATAAAATTTAATAATGGCCATTTAAATCTATAATGACTAAGCATGTCTAACTACTTAATTTAATTATTTGTAATTAACTGCTTACCCTTAAAAGTTATCTCTGCATATGAAAGTGAGTTATTGCCTTTCATTAATTCTTACCATACAGCATAAAAATGAAAAAAATTAATTAAATGTAAAACTTGTTATCCTCAGCTAGTGAGTCTTAATACAAAATAACTTATCCCCTTTGGTGCTTTAGTAGCTTATTGAAACCTTAAAGTATATTAATTGAGTTACAACCCCAGGAATTCTACACTGACTGTGTCAGACAGACAGAGCACATTTAACATTCAAAGCTTGCCAACTGTGCCTGCATCAGGCTTTCAAGTTTCTTCTGATTGGCAGGTCTCTTTCTAGGCAAGCAGCAGGGGTGGCATCAGGCTTCTGTTGCAAATCGTGCTGATTATGATTTTACTTCTCATTTTAACCTATGCTGTTTGACACAAAATCTACCTGCTATTTACTAAACCTCTAGACTGAGCAAGTACATGATAAAATTAAATATAAAAGAAAACAATCAGCATAAATTATTTTATAATTATGTTTAATAATAATGCATCCTACTTATTGATCTATTTTATTCTTAGGATGGTATTATAAGTGGAGTTCAGGCGTAGATATATTTTAATTGAATTTATTCATTTCCAATTTGCTGATAAGTCCGTAATTTTTTTTCATTAATGGTTTTTAAAAGTATTTAATTTGAATGTGCAGGAATGTGTACAAACCCTGTTTAATTTTGATGACTAGTTTAATTATAATTGCAATTACAATGTATTTAGATTACACAGATACTTTTACAAAAGCAGTGCAACTGCATAATCTATTTACTATTATAATGTAAATGTCATTGCATTTATATTTTGCTGAATTGTAATCTAGGCAATGTATGATTGACTGCGTATCCTTCAATATTTTTTTTTTATTATTATTATTTCAGAGATATAATCTGTATAGACAAAGCAACTGGAAAAATTACAAAATTAGGTCGTTCATTTACAAGAGCAAGAGATTATGATGCAACTGGAGCTCAGACAAAATTTGTTCAGTGTCCCGAGGGTGAACTTCAGAAACGAAAAGAAGTTACACATACAGTGACTCTCCATGAAATTGATGTAATGAACAGTCGTACCCAAGGTTTCTTGGCCCTTTTCTCAGGTAGAGTAAGCTATTTCAGTTCATTAACATTCAGATAGGTACAGAGTGTTACGCACCATCTGCGTTAGGAACTGCTGCAATTACCACTAATCAAAAACAAAGAGGGAAAAGTGCATAGATTTTTTTTTTCAGAGATAATATGTTTATTTATACAGGGTACTTTACAGAAATCATAATTTTATAAAACAAAATTTTAAATTTATATATTTTCAACAGTTTGGAATTTTTCACCGTACACAGTGTCTTATTCAGACTGCTAGTACAGTAGCATTTTATTTAAGTAGTCCATTTTGCTATAAGCATTCTTAAAAAAGGGGGGCATAATTAGCAGTTAATTTCTGTTAACTGTAATAATCATACATAAACCATTAAGTAGGATGATTAGCTAGTGTTTGCTTTGCTATATTAATTAAGGTATAATTTTCTCTGTCTAGTGCTTTAGTCTGACTATCATGTGGTACAGTTTCAGACTTTTATCATTTTCAGCATTGTGTTAGATTGAATTATAATCTGAATCATGTAAAAAGCTTTGTATGTCATAATTTTCATAAAATTGTTCTCAATTCTTGTTGGTGATTAATATATGTGTGATAAGTATTTTTACTTTCTTGTGTAAAGTAAAGGAAGTATTGTAATTTTGAAAAATCTCGGGTATCGTATTTCAACGAAAATAGCGATTTTTGGCGCTGCCGAATCCAATTAATTTTTCTTTCCTTTATGTGTATCTCTCAACTCGAAAATGAGTAACCTTAGAACATTGAAATTTTGTGTATGGAGTTGTTATAAAGTACTTACACACCTCCCTTTTTCTTGCAATCAGCTGCACAAATATATATATTTTCAACCTGTCATCCAGCTCGGTGAGCTCAGTAGTTTTATTCTTATATGTTGGTAAATTGTGTATTTTTTGCTTTGAAAGTGGTTGAATTATATTGTTCTTATATTCTGGTTAAGGCTTTTATGTCTGTAGTTAACCTGCGTGGAATAGTTGTAGAATTATCTAAATGTCATATTAAAAAATTTATTTAATTAAATTTATTTTATTAGTTTATTTCATGTATTTAAAGTTTTAATTTATTTTAAGTTTTCAAATATTTTACTTAAAAAAATTTTTACAATTTATTTTAATTTATTAAAACTACGACAGGTCAAAAGTGTATAGCAATATGGTTAACTACAGGAAAAAATACAGACGCCTTGAAGAGAGTTGAGCTTTAGTTAAAAGTTTAAAATTTAAAGGTCTATTGTGAATTTGCTCCAAAGTTTAATTTGTTGAAAAATTTCCATTACATTTTTTTTTATCTAGTACAAAGTCTGAGATCCGGATTCGTCGGGTCTTCAGCGATTCTGGATATATGGGATTTTTCTGGATATTAGATCAACAGTTTAAATATAGTAAGATTTCTATATTACTATATTTAAACTGTTATATCTATAGTAGAAATCATAAAATTAAAAATATGAAATCGTGATTTATGAAATAATGAAGCATTATGATCTAAAGCAGGGTTTCTTAAACTTTTTGGCCACACTCCTCGCATAATTTTGAGATGGATATACCTGTATCCATTTTTGGCAGCAATTCCACCTTTTGTTTAATGGATATCGAAACATGCTTTCGTGTTGCAGCTCCAGAATTAGAAACTCTTTTTGTCATAATCGAAATTTTGAACTTTAGTTTTCATAAAATTGTTGTAATTATAACAGCTTGCAAAAAATAGTAAGCTGAATCAAATCAGAAAGTTAAGGAATAATGCAATCTAATATATTAACTGAAATTCTTTGGAATCAGTAAAGTATAATTTTAGCCTAGCTTAGCAGCCTCCGCTATACATTATTGGCTATGTAGCATGAGATTAGCAACGGAAGACGAAATGTTCTGTTAAATTTTATCCTGATTCTATCTCTCACTGAGACAATTAAGCCTGAATAGTATAATTTAGTTATTTATTATACATATGTCTATTTCTTGCACATGCTTAAAGCTTATCTGAACCCTGAATAAATCAATTCCCACATATTCTTAAGCTTACTTAGGGCCGGTGCTAGATATTTTGCTACCTAATGCAGTTTCTGCAGATTTTTAATTCTGCTACCAAGCAACTCCCTAAGTTCTAAATTTTTGCCACCAAAATTTTTTGGTCTCAATGCTTTCTCTTGAATTCTAAAAAATTTACCATCCCTCAATTTTATTACTCGATGCCTCCTTAAATTCTGCTGCCCGGTGCGGCCATACGAACTGTGTCGCCAGTTCTGGGTTTAGGTGAATGAAAAATCTGTTATTCTTAATTCAAATAGCACTGAATGTAATTTTATGGCCTAAGAGTATCATTAACAAAATCTATTTATAGCATATGGAAAGAAATTTTTATTAAATTTTTCCTTGTCAACATTTAGCACAATTTAACCTAAATCTGTAATCATCGCGAAGTGTAATGTCAACATAAAAGGTGTCAAACTCCTTGTTATTCAATTACTAATATGAAAAATTGTTTAGGCATCACTGTATGAGTTATTACTGTTGATAAACATACGGTGATGAAAGCAAAATATAATAAATAATGATTCACCAGGTTGGCGTCGTTGGGGATATAAAATATTAATAGTTGTAAAATCAACTTTTTTTTTCTATGTAGACTGTTTCAGTTCGAGGTGTATGCCAAGCAGATACGCAGCTATGGAAGCAAATTATTGATCATAAAAATTTATGCTAAAATGATTGTTTCTTCATTAACAAGGTATTTTATTTATTGCCAAAGTGAAATTAAGAATCGGGATTCTCCACGTGTTTTCTTACTGGGGGGGATCAAATGCGTGTGTGTATAGCATTAAAAAAATTTTTGTTGGTGGCTTTAAGGTCTGGATTTTAGATCATTCGAGACATTGGATGTCTGGATCTCAGACTTTGTACTGTATTTGAAATTTGAATATAGTTTAAATAGTGATGTATGAATATAGTTTGTGAAATTTTTCAGAGCATGTTAATCTACTAAGTTAAAATGTGCTGCAGAATGCTGTTTTGTTATAGTAGTTATTTTATGCAGTCTATTATTAGTATGTTGAAACAATTGATTTGCAAGTGATTTTCATTTTTTTAATGCTATGATTAAAACATGGTAATATTTTCTTTTTCCAACGTTGCAGGTGATACTGGGGAAATTAAAGTTGAAGTCAGAGAACAAATTAACTCTAAAGTTGCAGAATGGCGAGAAGAAGGCAAAGCCCAAATCATACCTGGTGTATTATTCATCGACGAAGTCCACATGTTAGATATTGAATGTTTTTCATATCTGAATCGTGCCCTTGAAAGTGATCTTGCACCGATTCTTATTATGGCATCCAACAGAGGTATTACTAAAATTAGGGGTACACAATATGAAAGCCCTCATGGTATTCCAATTGATCTTTTGGATCGCTCAGTTATCATTACTACTACTCCATATGATGAAGACGATACAAAAAAGATTTTGAAAATAAGGTATATTGTTTTCTTCTATGATTGTTTAGTGAACAGAACTGATCTAATGTTTAGGAAGTACCATATTTGCTGGCATATAAGACGCACCCCCTTTTTTATACACATTTTTGAAAGCTAACACTTCATTACTGATTATTATAAAGAATTTAAAAGTAATACAAAGTAATACTTTCTGCAAATACCCAAATAAATCTTGGAAGGAACACTTTTTTAATATTGTTGGTCAAAAACCAGACACTCATCTCCAGAATTAAAAGAAGAGCTATTTAAAAACCTCTTCTAAATGAGCATCTATGTCCTCATACAACAAATTGACCTCTGTACCATCCAGTGCATTACTAATGCCACACTTCTTAAATGATTTAACCACTAACTCTGTTTTCACAGCATCCCATGAATGTTTGACCCATTCACAGGCTTCCAAAATGCCAGTCCTCTTCTTTCTTCCTGACTGTGTAACCTCAAAATTTGAAGGCTGCATCCAGGTGTTCCACTTCTCCTTCATAAATCACTTAAATGGTTTATTAATGCAGACATCAAAAGGTTAAAGCTGACTATTTACATCACCTGGAATTACAGCTGAGTTTTCAATTCTCTGAGTTTATTTTTAACATCTATTATTATAATATTCCCACACCCCGCAAGGAAAGAAGAAAAGAATCACATAACTCAGAATTGAGGAAATTTCCAGAAATGAATGAAATCAAAAACTAAGTATCAACAAATAGACGTACCCCATTTTTCAGGCCTATTTTCAAAGTGAAAAAGTGTGTCTCATAAGCTGGCAAGTATGGTATATAAAAGGAAATTTAAAAAAAAACCATAAATTTAAAGTAGAGTTCTCTGAAAGTCTGAGGATCTTTTCAATTTGGCACTGTAATTTTCTTGGCTGTTATTAATTGTGAATAATGTTAATTATTTCAAAATCATTTTTAATAATTTGAAAAAGATGAAATTTGTCCTTCTGATTTTGAGAGACAATTTCTGATCTTTACCACTTGGGAGATGAAAGTGCAAATGTCCATCTCTTTCAATCAGTGCTTATTGACCTGAGAGACAAATTCATTCTTTGGAAGATTTGAGTACCATTTGATCATTACATAGGAGTAAGAATATTTGTAACTTTTACCAAGCCATGCTAAAAAAAAGGGGGGGACATTGCTGTATCTCCCGTTCTACTGGGCCGATCGCCAAAATTCAAACTGCGTTTTTCTGTCTCGAAAGCACGACTTAGGATATATATATTAGATTTATATATAGCACTCTTCTAACATAAGTTATTTTGACACAAAATCGGACTTTTTCTGAAATAACATAACAATTTTTTTACATATTTCGACTCTAATTATTCCAAAATGCCAAGTTTTGTAAAAATCGTACGAGTACTTTTTAAAATATGAGCTCTCAAAATTTTAGCTCCTCAATGTTAATTGAACTTGGCAAATATTTATTAATATCTCTTTTTTTTATTAAATTTTTTGATTTTTCCTTTCACATTTCAAAATTTAGGTTCATTCCAAATAAAGTTTACCCATTTTTTGTGTTTTATTTTTAAAATTTCCCTTTTTAAATAATTTTTATAAATTTTTCAAAAAATTTTTTGAATTATAACCTATAAAATTTTTACCATCATCTTAAAGTAGGTGTATTTTTAAGCATATCTGCAAAAATTAGACTTTTTTATTCAAATTTTCTAAGATATACGAATTTACATATTTTTCGCGTTTTGAAATTTGGGCATCTTTTTTTTGAGCGAATCGCCAATGTGGTCTATGGATTTTTGTTACAGTGAATTGCCACAGCTCTTTTTAACCTTAAATTTCAAGTAAAATTTTACGGAGAAATTAATTATATGAAATTTTTCCCAATGACGTATAAATATTATTAATACTATAGGAAAATCTATTTTTTTTAAAATTATAGATGATATTATTCAAATTTTAACTATTTTTTTTAATTTCTCTCTTTCTTCCTTTTTTTTAAAAAAAAAGTAATTTTGCAAGAGTAAATTTTTACTTTTTTTCGCGTTTTATCGTCTGCTACTTTACTTCGTTTAAATCGAATTGTCTAAAACTGAGAATTTTCGTTTTATATTTATTTATTTGAATTTATGAAAATTTTATGACATTAACTGCATAATTTATTTCTAAACAAACTGTTGCTTTGAAGTGGCTGAAAGAGCGGCTGATACTATCATCCATATTTTTAAAGCACAGTATATTTTTTAAAGAAACATAAGATTTAGAATAATCATTTTTATAAAAGTCAAATTATGATATAAACATACAACCCTCTAGAGACAATTATGAAGTTCAATGGTTATGTAGAATGATCTGCAGCTACTTAATGGTGGATAAGTCAGCAGATTCTGTGGACAAGTAGAATATATTTATATAACGACACCCAATTCTGGATTCAATTAACAAGGATATGTTTATTTAAATGATTTAAGAGTTTTAAAACAAAAAAATCACTCATTTTTTATCCAATAAAATGTTTTTTTGCGTAGCGTATTTTCATTATATCCTTAAAATTCTAATTTAGAATGTAATTGTCAAGACGAATCCTAATCATCAGTAATATAATAAGTAATTATTAGGTTATTAATAAATCCTTCTTATAAAGTAATTGCAATATTTCAAAAAACTTTCTGTCTGAATGCAAATATTTTTCTATGCATTTTTTATATTTAATCAAGATTGCACATGATGTTATTATTTGACTTTTTTCACTTCAATTTTACCGTCAGTTCTAGTAGAAGTTACAAATCAATTATATTTAATTAAGGATTGGATTGGATTATTTAATTATGGCAAAGCACACGAGGGCTATCTGCCTAAAGGGAGGGATGCCTTCGTGGAGGACTTTCTAAGGGAAACTGGCTCGTATACACGTTACACATGGGGAAACCACTGAAAACGCCCATGCAGCCAGCCCGTTCGCGGGATTCGAACCTCGGAACGAACTACCAGTGTTCAGTCTTTTACAGCGTCTTACCGCTCGGCGGGCTATTTAATTAAGGAATGACCATCTAAGTTTAGAAACAGCGTACCGTAACAGCAATTCAATTATTGGCGCCGTCTCTTTCATGTTACTCCCGATTGGCAAGCTACATGATTTTAATGAGTATTCGGGTTTTGCTAGTAACTTCACTTGGAAATCGCGCTTAAACTAGTTAGTTGGTATTTGAACCTAGAAAGAACATGGAGCTATTTGGTTTAAGATGCTTTCATAGAGAATCCTTTGTAAGAGAAGCTAAAAAACTACGAAAACCAACCATGCAGCTGGGTTAGACTCAACAAAAACAATTAGTATTTAACAATCTTCAAATGCTAGGCAACTTGAGGCCCAATTAAATCTAATTTAATATTTTTTATTTGTAAATATTAAAATATTGTTGGTTCTTATATACAAAAAACAGAATTTAAGTTTTGTTAACTCGTTAGGCAAAATAATTGTAGTGCAATGAACATTCTTGGAATATGAGTTAAAGAAGGAACGTTCTCGAAATTTAAAGAAGTGTTTAATCCAGTGATATTAGGTTTGTCTTACAAGCTCAGGATCAAACGATTCTGCAATTGCCGAGTAGTTGACTTGTAATGCTGTGAATTAAGCAGATGACTTTAATCTTACGTTAAACGTATTCCAAATGTTTTGTATTGCA